ATGATTTGGTTCATGTGTTTGATCTGTCGATTCGGAGGGGAGTGAAGCCTGATGATAGGCTCTGTGGATGTCTTCTTTCGGTTATGGCATTGTGTGAGAGTGGTGAAGATGGTGAGAAGGTTATGGCTTGTTTGGAGCGAGCTAATAAGAAGCTGGTGACGTTTGTGAAGCTGATTGTAGACGAGAAGACTGAGTTTGAGAGTGTGAAAGAAGAGTTCAAGATAGTGATCAATGAAACGCAAGTGGAGGCAAGAAGGCCATTCTGCAACTGCTTGATTGACATATGCAGAGGGAAGAAGAAGCAGGAGAGAGCTCATGAGCTTCTCTATTTAGGAACACTTTTTGGTCTGTACCCGGGACTACACAACAAGACCGTAAGAGAATGGAGCCTAGACGTGAGGTCGTTATCAGTTGGTGCAGCTGAGACCGCTCTTGAAGAGTGGATGAGAACACTTGCCAACATCGTTAGACGCCAAGAGGATCTTCCTGAGCTGTTCTTGGCGCAAACTGGGACAGGAACTCACAGATTCTCACAAGGATTAGCAAACTCTTTTGCCTCTCATCTGCAACAACTTGCCGCACCTTTCAAACAGAGCGATAGGGCAGGTATCTTTGTGGCTACAAAGGAGGATTTGGTGTCATGGTTGGAATCAAAGTTTCCACCTTTAGTTACTTCTCAAGCTTGATACGTTACCATCACAAACTAATAAGCAACATTATTTTTCCCAGTAAAGTTGTTTATAACTGTAATAGCATATTTAAAGTTTCAATCTTGTTGTACCATCACAAGGAAGAAGGAATCATATTAGTTATTTGCAGTCTTGTTCTCTCTTTCCCTCAAAAGATTCATGCAAAAAGCTCTCATTTCACAAAAGTAAACAACTTAACACCTTCAATCTCTCTCTCTCAGCGCTCTCTTACATGCATACACAACTTTCAGTTACTGTTTGAAACGACCCATAAAATATTTGGGACTTCCTCTTTTAGCTTAGCAGCGCCAGCTATTCTGTCGCTTGGCATCATATGCTGCGCCGTCATTGAGCATATCTTGAGCATCAGACTCCATTCCGAGCTTCGAGAGTGCTAAAGCCTGCAAGTAAAAAGCTGTCGGCCATTCCGGTATGCACACTTGAGCTTGCATTGCATCCCTCAGTGCAAGCTCCTGTTGGTCTGTCATCAAGTAGGAGAAAGCACGTCTGGCGAAAACTGTTGCAGAAGGAACAGGCATCATCCCAACCAACTAGAAACAAGAGATTTTTAGGAGTTAGAGATTCTTGTCGAATACACACCGAGAACTATGTGATAGATTTGTTTTCTTTTCTTTCTCACCTTTGAGTAGTATTCAATTGAGTTCTTGAAATCCTTGTCACGGAAAGCAATGTCCCCGAACTTTTTCGTGTTCAGCATCTCCTGCACTTGTTGTGTCCATTCTTGAAATGAAAGCTCATTCTCTGCACCTTCCTCGTCTCTGTAACCGGTTTTAAGCAAAATGTCGTGTACAGTCGCGAGGTCCATTTTTGAACAGGCCTTACCAAGAGGAGAGAGCATCGTTGGTAATATTACTGTGTTCTTTGGCAATCCCATCAGGACATGAGAGGCAACCTGAGAAAAAAAAACAGAAATTGAATCCAAAATAATTATGTGGATATGAGATTCAAGATATTGTCAGCTTCAGGATATATTCTTTTAAACCTCTTCTTTCTTTGGCAGTGGTGCAACTGCAGAGAGAAGAAAGTTGGTGTCAGGTCGATCCTTTGCCTCCCATTGAAGGCATTTTGAAGCAAGCTCGACTAATTTAGTCGCATCATCACTCGCGTATTGCCCTTCAAGAGATGAATCCATCAACAGCAATGCGTTCTTCCCCCTTATTATATCAAGAGCCTGAATATGGACATCATCCACTAATTCAGATAACATAACCACAGGGAAAATGTTCGTTCCACAAGAGTGAGGAAACCATAGACTCGAAGGCACATACATGGCTAGGTGGAATGTGTTTGCCACTTAAGAGATCCAAAAGAATGGTTCCATAACTGAAGATCACACTCTCAGGAATGACTCTGCCTGCAAAAAGAAAGCAGAAACCTTTTAGTCTTCAAATAAAGAATTGGCGTGTATTCGGTATGATTCTCAAGATCAAGAATGTTACCTGTCCGTAAAAACTCAGGTGGAGTATAAGCTAAGTTGGTACTGTAGCTTTTTCCATCTCTACTGTTCTTCATAAGACCAAAAGTCGATAGACGAGGATCACCTTCCTCGTCGAAGAGGATTCTGTATGCGTTCAGGTCATGATAGATCTTCCGGTTCTCGTTGTTGCAGTGATCAAGTGCTTGTGCAATATAGTCTGCGATTCGAACACGCATTTCCCATGGAAGTGGCTGTTTTTCCCCTGCAAACGAAAACAGAAAGAAGAAGAGAGTAAAACATCTACAAGAAGATTATATAACAAAAGAAAGATAAAGAGCTATTATTACAGTGAAAGAGATGCTTTGAGAGAGTATCATTGGGCATATACTCCGCTACCAACAGTCTTTCGTCTCCTTCAGCACAACAACCAATCAAACTGACTAATCTCTTGTTTCTAAGCTTCCCAACACCAGTTGCTTCCACCTGGTTTTCACAAGTCAATCAAGGTCAACATAACAACACTATTCCCATGTTTGCTAATGTTAAAAAGCTTATGTCTTTATTTTTTACTGTCACTAAAACCGTTAATCAATGACCTTTAGTCTATGAGATTCACTCAGGGACTAAGCCTGAGCCTAAATGCAGAGACAATGAATCAAACAACAAATCCTGCAATGACTTTTCTCAAATTTCTTACCACAAACTGCTGAGCATCAGGCCAAGATTGCCTAGAGAAACGCTTGATGGCTACGAGATGATTCCCTTCAAGCTTCCCTCTGTAGACTACATTGGGAGCTTTCTCTCCACCTTCAGAGACAATGCAGCTAGGGCTAAACCCATTCGTTGCTTTCCTCAGCTCATTTAGCTCAAATTCTTTGAAATTTTGGATCTCCTGATCCACTTGGTCCCCATTTACTGTTGACACAACAACAACAACACATAAGCCGAAAAAGGCAAATTAATCTAAACAGAAGTTTAATTCCAAAAAGGTAGAAACTTTCCAACTTTCGCTTCTACTTTAAGCCTTAAAGAACCCCAAAAATCCACAATTTTAAGTAAACCCACATTATGAGAACAGACGGAAATAAGCATAGAGACGACCTAAATTTGCAGATTTAATGCCGAGCAAACAAAATGTGAGCTTTTTGTTACCTGATTCTGGTTTGTGTGGAGCTGCTGGATCATCAGAAGAGGGTAGATGTGCTGTTTTGGAATGTAAGCAGCCCATTTGCTCTCTTTCTCTCTCTTTTTTTTGTCTCACTCGAAAGAACTTTGAACAAACTTTTGTTCCACAAAGATGAGAAATTTGGACTAGGAAACAGAAATTGAAGTAAAAATGGTTATAAGAGAGTTTTCCCTGTCTTGTTTCTTGGATTGAGGAAACAACAATGGTGGGATTTGGTTTGGGTTTGGATTTGTGCTTTATGAGGAGTTGAGGAGGCAGTAGAATATAAAATTTAATGAAGTTTGAAAAATAAAGAAAAAGAGGAAGTAGCTAGAGAGAGGAAAGAGGTAGAGAAAGATCTGAAATTTAGCTTCAAAAGCTGCAGAGTTGAAAAAACAGAGGTAACAAAAAAAAATCATGTGAAGCAAAAGATCTTAATTTTGCTGCTCTATAAGATTTTCCTTGCATATACATTTTTCCTCGGTACTATACACAATATTTAAAATTTTGTTTCAGTTTTATAATATGTAATTTTTAAATGTTTTTTACTGAATTCTCAGTAGATTATTTTTTTAGTAAGTTTAAATTTTTCTGGTCTGTTTTGTGTTTTGTACTTTTGTTGTTTTAAGTTTTAACTCTATTTAAGTCTTAATTTGTTGAGTTAACTTTATCCTCAGGCCGTGCATTTATTTGCTTTCTTTCTTGCTTTTGCTATTATAATTTGTTTTTGGTTATCTTAACATTCATACCAGAAAAAAAAATTGTTTTTGGTTTTTTCGAATTTGTGGAGAAAAGAGAATAGGTCACATCACATGACAAGTCCATCATGGAGCACGTGCCAGTGCCACTACCCTCTTGGGTCCTGGTTTTCACCGAAGATGGAAATTAACTATTTCTCTTTTAAATAATTTTACAAAATATACTATTTTAAATTAATTGTCTTTTCTTAATAAAATTCACTCTGCGTTTTCTTGGGTACTTGACTACTTGCTAGTGCTGACATTATCGGTATTTTAGTTTAGTACAATTTTTGAATAATTAAGTACCGCTATTACATGATTCTTTTCACACAAAAGGTCTTCGGTATCTATTAAACTACTCTTAAATAAATATGTGATTTGATTATAAAAGATCTTTAAAATGTACTTTATCTTAGGTGTCTGAATCTTAATGTCCTGAATAATTTATTATGCTAACGTGGACCATAAACAAAAAGAATCTTGGACCGGAATCATACACTAAATCATATGAGAATTTCTCCAAGAACAAAAAGAGAAAAAATGCAAACAAATTTCTGTAAAACTACTCTGGATTTATTATTTAAGTATCACCAAACAACTACCAAGCCAAAATAACATAACTAGTGTCTAGTGTGAATGAATAATGGTCCTATTAGAATAAAAAAACATGTGAATTTAAAAGAAACAAAAATTGTAGGGTGTATAATAGAAAAGTGAAAGTTGCAGGTTAAAAGAAAAGTGAAAAAGCCAGGATCGAGGGGGTAAGTTGAAAAAGTGAAGATACATTGACTTGTGTTGATCGGCTTCTTATGGAATCGACGGAAGAAGTTTCCTTGTTTGGATTTAAAATTGCTGAATGTGAAACGAATCTTCGTTGGTATAAGTGAAACGAATCATACTATGAAAGTGCAACGTTTTGTTGCTTCGTGGGAATATATTGTTGATTCGCTAATGTGACTGTTCCAGAAATGGGGAGTGGCGCCATTTGTCAACGATTGAGATTTCGAGCTCTCTCCTCCTCGTGCTTCTATGGGAGATGCAACAAGAGTTTCTCTGTTGCGATGGAGCTCCGGAATTGCGAAGTTTCGATATGTGATCACTTGCGGAACCGAAGACTCGACGAGGCTCGAGTGATTTTCAATGAGGTTCCATCTCCTCATGTGAGTCTTTACACAAAGATGATCTCTGGGTACACGAGGAGTAACAGATTGGTTGATGCGTTGAATTTGTTCGACGAAATGCCTGTGACTGTGAGAGATGTCGTCTCGTGGAACTCGATGATCAGCGGATGTGTTGAGTGTGGGGATATGGATACCGCAGTGAAGCTGTTCGATGAAATGCCTGAGAGAAGCGTTGTTTCGTGGACGACGATGGTGAATGGGTGTTTTAAGTCCGGTATGGTTGATCGAGCTGAGAGGTTGTTTTATCAAATGCCTTTGAAAGATATTGCAGCTTGGAACGCAATGGTTCATGGGTATTTGCAGTTTGGTAAAGTAGAAGAGGCCTTGAAGCTGTTTAAGGAGATGCCTCGGAAGAATGTGATTTCGTGGACGACGATGATCTGTGGGTTAGACCAGAATGAGATGAGTGGAGAAGCTCTCGTTTTGTTTAAGGATATGTTGAGCTGTTGCATTAAGTCGACTTCGAGAACGTTCGCTTGTGTTATCACAGCGTGTGCAAATGCTCCAGCGTTTCATATGGGTACACAAGTTCATGGCTTCGTCATCAAGTTGGGGTTTTTATATGAGGAATATGTATCTGCTTCGCTCATAACGTTTTATGCAAACTGCAAAAGAACAGAGGAGTCTCGGAAGGTGTTTGAGGAGAAGGTTCAAGACCAAGTTGCTGTATGGACTGCTCTATTGTCAGCGTATAGTCTGAACAAAAAGCACGATGATGCGCTAAGTGTTTTCTCTGAGATGTTAAGAAACAATATCTCACCAAATCAATCGACATTTGCTAGCGGATTAAACTCTTGCTCTGCTTTGGGATCATTGGATTGGGGTAAGGAGATGCATGGAGTTGCGGTGAAACTTGGTTTAGGAACTGATGCCTTTGTAGGTAATTCTCTCGTTGTCATGTACAGTGACTGTGGAAATGCAAACGATGCTGTGTTGGCGTTCACAGAAATCTTGAAGAAGAGCACTGTCTCGTGGAATTCCATTATTGTTGGCTGCGCGCAGCACGGGCATGCTAAATGGGCTTTTGTGATATTCGGCCAAATGATTCGGTTAAACAAAGAGCCAGATGAGATAACTTTCACTGGCTTGCTCTCTGCTTGTAGCCATTGTGGGTTTCTACAGAAAGGAAGAAAGCTGTTTGATTACATGTCAAGCGGACCAAATCATATCGATAGAAAGATTCAACACTACACTTGTATGGTAGATATCTTGGGAAGAAGCGGGAAACTGAAAGAGGCAGAGGAGCTTATCGAGAGCATGGTTGTGATACCTAATGAAATGGTTTGGTTGGCTTTACTCAGTGCTTGTAGGATGCATTCTGATGTAGACAGAGCCGAGAAAGCTGCTGCTGCTATTTTTAATCTGGACTCGAAATCAAGTGCGGCTTATGTCTTGCTGTCGAACATATATGCTTCTGCTGGTAGATGGTCGAATGTATCGAGATTGAGAGTTAAGATGAAGCAGAAGGGGATAATGAAGAAACCTGGGAGCAGTTGGGTTGTGTTTAGAGGGAAAAAGCACGAGTTTTTCTCTGGTGATCGACCAGATAGCTTGGTTATATATGAGAAGTTGGAGTTTCTGAGAGACAAGTTGAAGGAACTTGGCTATGTTCCTGATTACAGATCTGCTTTACACGATGTTGAAGACGAACAGAAAGAAGAGATGTTGTGGTATCACAGTGAGAGGCTTGCTCTTGCGTTTGGGTTGGTTAATACAGTTGAAGGAAGTAGTGTCACAGTTATGAAGAATTTACGGGTGTGTGCAGATTGTCACTCAGTGTTCAAGCTGATCTCAAGAGTTGTGGAACGTGGGATTGTTTTAAGAGATTCGACTCGGTTTCATCATTTTAGGAATGGAATGTGTTCTTGTGGGGATTATTGGTAGAAACTTTGACTAGTGATGCGAGAAACTCTAAATATTAATGCAAGGATAAAAAACTCTAAATGAGGTTATGAGTTGTGTGATTAAGTCACGAAACAGTCCAAAAGAAGAAACTCCCGTCAAGTTGCACCAGAGATGTGTTAGAAACAGTGATGCTGTTGCTAGATACCACTCTGCTACTGCTCTTGATATTATATGTGCAATCCATTGGGTTTCATAACATCCACGGCGAGCTCTCACTGCTTTCTGATTTTTTTTTGGAATCAGGCTATCGGTGCAATTCTCTATGGCTTCTTCTTCTTCGTCTTCATGCTCTTTTGGCAATTGGTTATATGACTTTTTTCCAAGCTTCCCAGGAGAAGATGTCCGTAAGACATTCCTCAGCCACTTTCTAAAGGAGCTGGATCGGAAATTGATCAATTCTTGACAACAAGATCCCGAGAAGCCTATCTCTCGATCCCGAGCTTAAACATGCGATTAGGAATTCGAGAATTGCTGTGGTCGTGTTTTCCAAAAACTACGCCTCTTCAAGCTGGTGTCTAAATGAGCTGCTGGAGATTGTGAAATGCGAGAAAGAGTGTGGTCAAGTGGTGATACCCATTTTCTACCGTTTGGATCCTTCCAACGTGAGAAAACAAACCGGAGACTTTGGCAAGATCTTCAAGAAGACATGCCAAAATAAAACTAAGGTGGAGAAAATTTGATGGCAGGGAGCTTTGACTGGTGTAGCTAATATCCTCGGATATCATATTGTCACCTGGTACGGATTTAAGAGAGTCATCATTGTTCTTTGTTTAACAAACATATTATTTCATTGACTCTTAAATAATCTTTTTCCTTGTTAGGGCAAACGAAGCAAGCATGATCGAAGAAATCGCCAATGATGTTTTGGGTAAACTGAATTTATCTCCATCAAATGATTTTGAGGATTTTGTTGGTATAGAAGATCATATCACAAAGATGAGTTCACTGTTGCACTTGGAATCCAAGGAAGTGAGGATGGTTGGGATATGGGGTCCCTCCGGAATTGGCAAGACTACCATTGCAAGAGCTCTCTTTAGTCGGCTCTCTTGTCATTTCGAAAGTAGCGTTTTCATAGACAGGGTTTTCATATTTAAGAGTATGGAAGGTTATAGTGGAGCTAATCGAGTTGACTTTAACATGAAGTTGCACTTGCAACAAACTTTTCTTGCTGAAATTTTAGACAAGAAGGACATAAAGATAGATCATATCGGTGCAATAGAAAAGATGCTAAAGTACAGAGAAGCTCTTATTGTTATTGATGATTTAGATGATCAGGATGTGCTAGATGCCTTAGCGGGTCAAACTCAATGGTTTGGAAGTGGGAGTAGAATCATTGTGGTTACAAAGAATAAGCACTTCTTAAGGGCCCATGGGATTGATCACATTTACGAGGTCTGTCTCCCATCTAAAGACCTCGCTCTTGAGATGTTTTCTCGATCTGCTTTCAGGAAGAAGTCTCCACCTGATGGTTTTATGGAGCTGGCCTCTGAAGTTGTATTGCGTGCCGGAAACCTTCCGTTGGGTCTTGACGTTTTGGGCTCTTATTTACGGAGTAGGGACAAAGAAGACTGGATGGATATGCTGCCGAGGCTTCGATATGGTTTGGATGGAAAAATTGAGAAGGCTCTAAGAGTCAGCTATGATGGATTGAACAACAAAAGGAATGAAGCGATATTTCGTCACATTGCATGTCTTTTCAATGGCGAGGAAGTTAATGACATCAAGGTGCTACTAGCGGATAGTAACTTGGATGTTAATATTAGGCTTAAGAATCTACTTGATAGATCCCTTATCCATGAAAGATGGAATACTGTGGAGATGCACTCTTTGCTACAAGAAATGGGTAAAGAGATTGTCCGTACACAGTCCAATGAACCTGGTGAACGGGAATTCCTTGTGGATTCGAAAGATATTTGTGCTGTGCTTGGAGGTAACTCTGTAAGTTCTCTTGTGTTCGTTCTTCTCTTAAATCTCACTTCATGAGCTAATGTCATTATTGAGCTAATTAATTTTGTATCTTCTTAATTGATCTTGTAATTTCAGGGTACTAAAAGGGTTTTGGGTATAGCGTTGGATATGGATGAGACTGATGAACTACATGTTCATGAGAGTGCCTTCAAAGGGATGTGTACTCTTCGTTTCCTAGAAATGTACCCAAAAAGGATTCAGAGGTTGGGAAAACAAGGCATTTTGCACTTACCCGAAAGCTTCGACTATTTGCCCCTTTCACTCAAATTATTGTATTGGTCTGGCTATCCGATGAGATGTATGCCTTCTAAGTTTTGTCCTGAAAACTTCGTCAAGCTCAAAATGCAGAATAGCAAGCTCGAGAAGCTGTGCGAAGGGAGTTGTGGTAAGTTTTGAGAGTAATTGCTATGTTATTTTATTATCTTCACTTTCTATGTTCTAAGCTCTTCTTTTCTTATTTTGGTATACACAGTCGCTAACATGTCTCAGTGAAATGGATTTGCGTGGATCTAAAAACCTGAAAGAATTCCCAAATTTTTCAAAAGCCACCAATCTCGAGAAACTTATTCTTGCGTGTTGCTCGAGTTTGGTGGAGCTTCCTTCCTCTATTCGGAATATCAATAAACTGACGACACTAAACATGGAATCCTGCGAAAATCTGGAGCTTCTTCCAACCGACATTAACCTCAAATCTCTTTACTGCCTCAATCTCGATCAATGCTCACGGTTGAGGAGGTTTCCCGTAATCTCAACCAACATCTCAAAGCTATTGCTAAACCGAACAGCTATTGAAGAAATCCCTTCTAGTTTGCGTCTTGAGAATCTGGCTGACCTTAGCATGCAAGACTTAAAGAGTCAGAAACTATTGCAAGGGGTGCAGGTATGAAGTTTCAAACTTAACATTTCCTTTATTTTTTCTTTAAGAAAGTTTTAAGAGTAAATCTTGCACTGGATGTTAAAAAACAACCAAAGAATGCAACATGATCATGGAAATTGATTTAGGTTTGGGTTAATTTATTGGAAAGTTCCAAACAAAAAAGCTAGAGGAAGATGAGAAACTACGCAGAAGTAATAGTTTCTCTTCAATACGTAAACCTCTCTTTTTTTTTTCTGATTAGTTTTTCCCTCTTTTGAAAGTAAACACTTGAATAAATCATTGTAATTTGCAAGTCTTCTTGGGGGAAATGAGACTCATTTTTGAGGTGATTTTGTTTGTTTGGCTCAGCCGCTAACACCTCTCATGACCATGCTGTCTCCCTCTTTGACGAAGTTGCGGCTCTCTGATATCCCAAGTTTGGTGGAGCTTCCTTCCTCTTTCCAGCATCTCAATAATCTGATGCATTTGACAATTACAAACTGCATAAATTTGGTGACTTTTCACACCGGAATCAACCTCCAATCTCTCGTACAGCTCCGGCTCCAACAATGCTCACAGCTGAGGAGTTTTCCTGATATCTCAATAAACATCTCAGAGCTCCACCTCAGCTACACAGCGATAGAAGAGTGGATCGAGGACTTCTCCCATCTCCAATTCCTATATATGGATGGTTGCAGAAACTTAGAATATGTAAACCTAAACATTTTTAAACTGAAACACCTATCGAGTGTTAATTTTTCAGATTGTGGGGCATTGACTGGAGTTGATTTAAGTGACTATCCAAGTGAGAGTGGCACAGACTCACCAGTCCGCAAGGAGGAGGCTTCCTCTTCTCATCATTTCCCAAAAGCCGCATTCCATTTCATCAACTGCTTCAACTTGGATCAAGAAGCTCTTCTCCACCAAGAAGATGTTTTCGAACAAGTATTTTTGTCATGTGAAGAAGTGCCTTCATATTTCACTCACCGAACAACTGGAACCTCTCTCACCAATATACCTCTACTTCAAACCACTATCTCCAAACCATCATTCAGATTTCGGGCTTGTGTTCTGCTTGATCCGTCTTTTGAATCTTTCTGTGCCGCATCCGTTAAGGTATGTTGTCGGTTCAGATGCAGACTCGGTAACCACTTGGATTTAACTGATCATCAGACACATGACTTCTCGATAGCTCATGACGATAGTAGTACTGTGGGTATATTCGAGTGTCGTTTCCCTTTACACACAGAAAATGCTACTCGACCGCATCTCAACTACGATCAAGTGGATATAGAGTTTCAAGTCATAGACCGATTTAAACAACTTCCGGTAGCGTTTAATGGATGCGGAATAATCCGAATACGACTCGCTGGGGACTGTACGCCATATCCTAATAATCCAAATGTTCTTCCACATGTACATGAATATGATGATGAAAAGAATGGGGACAACCTTGGAGGACATGAGACTGAAAGCAGCCAAGTGTTGGGAGACAGCACTGATACTGAAATTGGAAATGAGACGACTGGTCACAGTGTAGAGTGCGGTGACGACGATGTAGAAAAAGGGAGAAGCTGTAGGCGAATATTGGTGGTAAGTATTACGTGGAACTGAATTCGAATCATTATTATTACGATAAACAAGAAATTATGTTATATAATGATATGAGTTTATTGTGTCTGTAGAATATGATGAGAAGACTCATGAAACTACTGACTTGCTCCAACTTCAAAAGGCAAGATACATAGGAGACTCTCACCATGAGTCTTTGACTGTGAAAGTCTTCCACTTTGTTAGGTAACACAAACTGACCTTCCCTACGTACGTTTGACTAGATTTAGGCACAACGAAGCATAAATAATGGAATCGTTACGTAAGCAATGATGTTTAATTACTTTTGTGTAAAAAAATGAATCAATGTGACTTCTTGCTTTAAAAAAAATATAAATTAGGGAAACTTCCTACCTGTGTGACTAGGATTAGGGATAAGAACCAATGATATATTTGATATGTTTCACCACTAAAGTATGAATACTCGAGAATAGTCTCTCTAATAGTCTAATTAAGACCTTGCGCTCTTCAGAATTCAGATATCTGTGACTTCCTCTTCAATAAACATATTTTGGTATTTTTTTTTTCTCTGAATTTATTTTGGATCTCTCGTAATTGTTTCTTCTTCTTCTTTCAGTTTAACTTTCACTACAAGGACAAGGATATGCGTTGACTTCTTTTGAGTCTCTCCACTCAGTTACAAACTGTTGTCCTTCAACTCGTGTTTCGTTCCAGCCAACACAGTTCTTTTTTAATCTGATGGTTTCTCCTTCTTCTTCCTCACGTCCTCGTAATTGGGTATATGACGTTTTCCCAAGCTTCAGTGGAGAAGATGTTCGCGTAACTTTCCTCAGCCATTTTCTAAAGGAGCTTGATCGGAAGTTGGTTATCGCTTTCAAAGACAACGAGATCGAGAGAAGCCAGTCTCTCGATTCCGAGCTTAAACAAGCGATTAGGACTTCAAGGATCGCGGTGGTTGTCTTTTCGGAAAAGTTCCATCTTCCAGTTGGTGCCTGGACGAGTTGCTGGAGATTGTGAAATGTAAGGAAGAATCTGGTCAACTGGTTATACCCATTTTCTACGGTTTAGATCCAACTCATGTCAGGAAACAAACCGGAAAATTTGGAGAAGCTTTTGCCAAGACTTGTCAGAGAAAAACAGAGGATGAAACAAAACTTTGGCGGCAATCGTTGATCCAAGTGGCAAATCTTCTTGGCTATCATTCTCATAAATGGTACAGAACTTGTTCTGCAATCTTTTGTTTGTTCTTATGGAACTTTGACATGTGACAATTGATTAATTGTTGTTTCGTATATGTGAAATGATCTTTCACATCTTGTTAGGCACAACGAAGCAAAAATGATTGAAGCTATTGCCAATGATGTCTTGGATAAACTGAATTTGTCTCCATCGAAAGAGTTTGAGGACTTTGTTGGAATGGAAAATCATATTTCACAGATGAGTGTCTTATTGGATTTAGAATCTGAAGAAGTGAGGATGGTTGGGATATGGGGCTCATCTGGAATTGGCAAGACTACCATTGCAAGAGTTTTATACAGTCAACTCTCTCGTCGGTTCCAAGGTAGTGTTTTCATAGACAAAGCTTTTGTCTCCAAGAGTATGGAACTTTATAAAAGCTCTAACTCGGACGACTACAACATGAAGTTGCATTTGCTGAGAAGTTTTTTGTCTGAAATCTTAGACCAAAAAGATATAAGGATAGATCGTTTAGATTCAGTTGAAGAGAGGCTAAAGCACCGGAAAGTTCTCATCTTTATTGATGATTTGGATGATCAAGTGGTGTTAGATACTTTAGTTGGTCAGACTCACTGGTTTGGTTGTGGGAGCAGAATTGTTGTGATTACAAAAGATAAACATTTTTTAAGGGCTCATGGGATTGATCATATTTATGAGGTATGTCTCCCATCTGAAGAGCTTGCTCTTGGAATGTTCTGTAGATCTGGCCTGCGCCAAGGTTGACTCCAAATCTTCTCCTCATAATTATTATTGTAAATTTGAGATCCAGGTATCTTGCCGGTTCAAAGATAAACTTGGTAACCACTTTGATTCCCCTTGTCAACCACATACGTTTGGTAAAGGCAAGGGTATCCACCTTGTTATATTCCAATGTTGTTTCCCTCTAAACGAAGACAATGCTTCTCAAGCTGCACTGAACTACGATCACGTGGATATAGAGTTTCGTTTACGCAATCTTATTGGCACTGCGTCCAAATTAGAAGCATGGGGTATACGACTCTCTGATGACTTTTCATGGTAATCCAAACACTGTTCCACATGTTCGAGACAGTGAGAAGCAGCAAATGGATACAGGAAAGCGTTAAGCATGAACTCAATATCATATTACCTTTTTTCAAGATTGATTAGAAACGTTTTTTGTACAGTACACTGAATTTATTTGTTTTTTTGCAGATTAAAACACCCAACTTGCCATGCCTTACAACCCAGCTGGAGGAACACATGAATCCATTTTGAGTCTTTGGTTTATATAAGAAATGAGTATTTCTAGAAAAACATCATTGCTTTCCCGACCAAAGACTTTTTTCAATTGGTGATTTAAGCTCTCTGGTTTCTGTTTTGATTGTCGTTGTGCTTAACTGCCTCTAAGTATAATGACATATGACTTGTGTGACAAAGTTTCATCAGGTTTGAACTTTGAAGAAGTTATTTTGTTCATGTCCATATGTACGACTAGGAACAACGAACAATTGATTTCATATATTAACAAAGTTAAGGTCACACTACAACATTTGATCCGGTCAAAAATTACATCCAAAAGAGGTTTTCAGACTCCTAAAAGATCTCTCCTTCTTCAAGATCTTCGATTCTCATTGCATCAGGAATCTCGGAGTCCATCTCTTCCACACAATCATCTTTTCTCAAAAGCAGACCCAACTTAAGCAACATAGTTCTTGTGAGATTAGAGCTACCACAGATCTTAACCAAATCCTTGTCCAATACCACGAAGTTGTTCTCTTCAAAGTCGAATGTTTTCTTCATCTGTAAACATTGACAGAAATCAGAATCTTTTCTTCAATCTGTTAAAAACGTTTTTTTTTAAGTTCCGCAAAAATACCATTTCAAGCTCAAGCCGTTGTCTCTCCCGTTTCTGTTTCAACTCGGCTTCTGCTCTCATTCGTCTAGCATTCTCAGCGGCTCTCATCTCAGCTACAATTCTAGCTTTCTCTGCATTTTTTTTTTTCATAAAACCGTTAAGACAGAAAAGTTTGAGCCTATGGCTCTTTACTTATATCAAAACATGTAAATAAAGCGTACCTTCACGTTGAGCTTTTTCCATCTGTTCCTTTTCTATTTGTATTCTAATTAGATCCGCTTTGTTATTGTTCTGTATTGAAAACACAAAAAAAGATAAGCACTTTTCAGTATAACAAAGCCCGTGTGGATAGTGGAAGTCTCTTTTCTTTTGTAACTGGAATCAAGAAGAGTAATGATGATGATACCTGGTCAAGGACTTTTCTGTGTTTAGCTTTCAGGATGGTTTCTGCAAATTGACCCTTGAGCATTGCAGCACGAAGAGCCTTCTCAGGAGGTAACGGAGGCATAGTAGGTAATTTTGTTTTCAACTCTGTACTGTTTAGAGGTTTATCAAGCTGAGAACTAACACATCCGTTTTTCTCATTCCTTGAACTCACAGACCCTTCATTCAAAAAGGATACTGTTACAGAAAAAGTAGATAGTGTAAAGAGGTGTGATGTGAATGAAACGGGAAAGAAAAAGTAGCTCAAGGTTACTCACCATTGGACTGCGGATCTGACTCGGTCGCCTGTGAAGCTGAAGTGTTCTTTACCAGACAATCCTGTTTCCACAAGAGCATTGAAATTTTGAAATTCCTTTTGACAAGACCAAAAGGAAACTCAAATGATCTCAGATATCAAGCAACAGTCTGCCTATATACCGTTAATGAAGAAAATTCACTTCCGGATGAGTTACATGACTTGAGGCATATACAAGTAATCCTCCCACACGAACCACATCTGCAGGATGCATTTAGACCTGAACCTGCATGCCATTGAAATGGTTTAGTTAGCTCAAAGGCTGAGGAGCAACAGAGCAAAAGATAACAATTCTCTAACTATATAGCATGTACCTTTGCTTGGGGTTTTCACAGTCGAACTGATGCCAAGGCCATGCTCGAGTTTCTTAACCCTCAACTGAAAATGTCAAACATGGGATCAGTAAAAAGTGAACCACGAAAATGGTTAAAAGCCTACGATTCTCATCATATATCCTTTACCTTCGTTGCTAAAGCTTTCGGTGTGACAGAAGGCGTTTCCTTTTTGCTCTCCCCTTTCACAGGCTTCTCTTTTACTGGTTTTGGCAATTCCACAGGAAATCTCCGAGAAGATACAGATGTTTCAGTGCTTCTCTGCCTTGTACAATCGCCTTCACTCACAGATAACTTCGAAAGCTTCTTCTTCTTCTCGAGTGATCCCCATCTAACCTCAAAAATCTCCTTAAACTTCTTTGCAATCTCGTGAACAAAATGGCCAGGAGGATTATACAGCATCGCATTGTCAAACGTTAACCGTACATCCGCTGCAAACTCATCTCCACTGCTATAAACGTTCTTCAAAAGCCTCGACTTCACTGTGCCTAAATCCATCGGCTTCGATATGACAGAGAAGTAATCAGGGATCAACAGTTTCACAGGATCCACAGGCTCCTCAAACAGACAACCATACTCCTCATCCATCAATAACTTTAACAGTGTCATACACTGACTAGACTGAACACGGTCTAGCTTTTGCTTCTTCTTCGCTTGAACCTCCTCTAGCTCGTTAGCTCCACGCTTTCTCGACTGATTCTCGGCTTTGATTACGAATGATTTCTCAATCAACTTCGCGTTACCGGAGTTGTTAATATCCGGAACCTTTTGGAAAGTTTTGACGGAACCTTCGGCACCAAACTTTATCCTCAATCTGGGTACTGCAACCATTCTTCCGAATTCGGAAACACCTGAAGAGATAAAGGCAACGAGTTACAAACTATAGAGCTCCAGAAATTAGGGTTTTTTCTTCGCGACTGCGCAAAATTTAGGGTTATCAAACGATCAAATTGATGCGATAATTAGAAACCCAACAGATTCCGACTACAAAACCGACCAATCTAGCTAAAAATTTCAACGATGAAACGAGGGACGATTAGGGTTTATCAATATCGATACTTTTCCGATCGGCAAAAACCTTAGAAAAGGAGGAAACTGGGCGTTTGAGAAACGAAACTACACGAAGGAAGCGAGAAAAAAGTGATTTAAGAAAGAAAAATCGAAAAAGCTAACCTGGGGGAAGAATTAATCGATCGAATGAACGATTTTGAGTAAGAGTGCACTGTGCACTCGGCGGCGTGAAGCAGAGTGATGAAGAACAAAAAAATACGGCGATGAACTTTCTTCTTCTTTTTTTTTCCCTCGAAGTGACGGGTTTTAAAGGTTGGATTAAAAAAAATACGCGTTTTTTACTTATACTACACATAGAATTACTAATTTAGAAATTTTACACCCTTTTCCTTTTTATTTTATATAAATAAAACCTACACAATCTTACTTAGAAAATAGAAAACCAGGTCAAAAAAAAATATATATAAAAATAAAAACTTTCTCATATAAAAAGTTGAGTGATGAAACATCCAACATTTTTTTTTAAAATAAATTAATCAATTCTAGCGAAGGTCTTTAAATAAATTAAATAAATAAAATATCAATAACAAATAAATCAGCTCAGCGGAAGCAAATAATAATTAAACAAGTCTAGCAAAATAATGCAAAACAATAAAACAGTAAACATCCTATCATCCCCTCTTCAGCCTTGATTCCGCGATCACACAAATCTTTTACCTGCAACACATTGGAATGGAGTTGCGTAAGTATTTAATAAATACTTAGTGAGGCAATCACTCTGCCTACGAGCCATTTACGCAATTTACTAGATATTTAATAATATTTATAAACTCCAATAATTATTAAATACCATTTTCCAATTATTAAATAATTTTTAATAATTAAAACTCAATTTCTCAATTATTAAATAATTCTCATAATTAAATAATAATTTTCATATTTTAAAATAATTACTATTTAATTTATTAAACCAATTAAATTCAATTAAACCAATATAAACCAATTAAATTCAATTGAACCAAGATAAACCAGAATCAAATCAATTAAATTCAATTAAATCAGATTTAACCACACAAACACACAATTCATCACATAAACAACCAAAATATCATGAAATAACAATTAAACACAAAACTCATCAAGAACAATCATAAACCAAATCTAATCTAGCAAATCGCACGGACCCACAGTCATGCACTCACCTTGACAATGGATTGAAACTGAAGGAAAAAAGAAAGACGATGAACAGTGCCGAATCGCGGATGAACAGTAACCCGTGAACAGTACCGATGAACAGTAAACTCGAAAATCTCTCCAAAAACTCCACTTTTCTCCTCTGTAGCCTCTGAACTCGAAAATTCCCAAAGAGAAGACGGCTGCACTCTTTAAACTTGATTTTAGGGCTTTCTCCACTAAACCGACCCAAACCAATTCACTTAAATTGAACCGACAAAATTCCAATTTTTATTTTTGGTTTATGGATGTTACAAGTGAAATAGAAACACAACATCTCTTTTAACTAAAAGGCTCATTTAATTTTTTAAATTATTTGAAATTGTACATTTTATTCTCTAACTATGGACTACAAATAAAATAAAGTGGATGACATATAAACTATTATATGCGTAATTGGAAATTATGTTGTAGCACCGTTCATTTATTTATTAATAGTTGATTCTTTTAAACTTGATTATATGATGTCAAAAATTATATGTGTGTAATCGGTAGTTAAAGAATAAAACATAAAATTTCAAGAGAAAATTGCCAATTTACCCCAAAAAAAGGCCTTTCTTGTCCCACTACACCTTTCCATCTCGTTGTTGTCTTAATACACTTTTTTAAAATAATTTGGACATTTTTGACCTTCAAATTGAATTGGTAATGTGTTTGGAGAAATCCTCTAAAACCATCGCTTTTAGGTCGTCAAACCTAGTATTAGATTCCACACAAACTACTCTTCCTCCTTTCCTCTCATCAGCAACAAATATCCACCCATTAATTTGACACCTCTTCCATGAACCACATACTACATAGATTTGGATTTGAACCATATTGGATAGAGAGAAAGAGGACTACAGAGGAGGAAGGGGATGAAGAAGATGAGGAAGAAGATCATGGAGGATTATTTTCGGATAGTTGGATGAAAATAAGGAAACAAAGATTTGAAAAATATTTTTTTGCAATATTCTCTCGATTTTTGCAGATGATGAACTCTACACAATGTAGAACTAACCTATTTAGTAGAATATCCTGTGAAAACACGAATACTACGCCTTGCAGAAAAACATGAAATATGTAGTACACGAAAACTATGACTGGTAGATAGCAGTGTTTACCGTAGAATTTAGAATCTACGAGTAGTAGCGGATGGTGTATTCTGTAGAATATTTTTGGAGCGAATTCTACAAAATGGTAGAGTGTATTGTATATGGTAGATATCGAAGTCTAATCCGGAAGATGAATGAAGAAATTGTAGATATCATATCCTACGACGGTTAGACTTGCGAATAACTTGTAGAAAGCGTATTCTGCTTTGATATTTTACTTTGTAGAACCAAAACTTCAAAGAATTTTTTAACCATCCAAAACATTTTTAAAAATATTCAAATATTTTACACATTCTTTAGATCATTTATAGGACTTTTAGAAATTGTGTTCACTTAAAAAAATATTCATTATCATGTTTAAACAATATTGAAGGACAATTATGGAAAAAAATGGCCAAAGTCAAAAAAGGAGTAATAGGACAAGAAAGGCATTTTTTTGGGGTACTTTGCCAATTTCCCCAAATTTCAAATAGTTTAAAAATGAAATGAGCATTAAACTAGATGTTGTGTTACCATGCTTTTTCTTTACCTTGACATGTCTCTATATAATACATTTAGTTTTTCTTAATAAATCTGGGAGCTTACCTCCCTATGCTTCACCAAAAAAAAAATGTTGTGTTTCTATGTTTACTCAAATTTTTTAATAGCAGTGATTGTTCTTTCATCTATTTGTATTTTCTTTGTATTTTTGTGTGTGTTAGATTATGATTTGACAAAGCAAATTCAATAGTAAGATCGCTGTAAAATTTTATCCAATTATGTGAAAGTAGAACTAGAGATTTGATGATAAATGAATCATTTCAGTGACATTTTGTTCATATTAGTGGTGGACCCACACTATGCCGCGGTGTTTTTTTTATTTATTGATGAATTTAAACTGGGCTTGCAGATTGTTGCAATTTCTTTCTGTTTGGGTCTGCAGCTTGTTGCATTTAATTTTGTTTTGTTGTATAAGCCCAGTTAAAGAGGACAATGCATTTTTTATTCCAATATTTTGTTTACCGTCTTTATCCGATAATTTCCTGCGGTCGGGTTTCAATGCCCGAAAAACTGCTTAATATCCTCACCGAATAATAACTGTTTTTGTTGTGAGAAAAGGAGAAGAGAAAGGAGCTTATTCATTCATTGGAGGTGATGATCCTATATATAGGATTACAAGTAGGGTTTATGTAGAGTTTATATTAGGGAATAAGATGGCCTAATGGGCATCCACTTATTTACCCATAACACTCCCCCTTGGATGACCATTATACAAAAATACATTCTAAATACATAAGGATGATGCCTCGTTAAAACCTTTACCAGGAAAACCCATGGGAAAAACCTTGGTTAAGGAAAAAGAGTGCATCGCGCAATCACTCCCCCTCATGAGAACATCCGTCACAATCAGATGACCTCTTTCCTTGAAAGTTGTAGCTGAAAACTCCTTGTCAGGTAAATCTTCAGTCTTTGTTTGAACAGTATTTAGAATTGACATCGTCATTCTTCTGCAGTGCATGAATTCAATTGATCTCATACATGGATGAAAGAATTTTGGAAAGGAATTAAACTTTCATCTTTAGACTTCCTTTAGATATTTCTCATTTGTGTGTTCTTTGTTGCCTCATTAAAACCTTTCATGGAAAAACCCAATGGGATAAAAACCACAATAAGGAAAAAGAGTACAACCACACATATCATCTTATATCTCCCCCTTGGAAGCATCTTCTTCAAGAGATGCATTCCAATAATAAATATCATATTTTGGAGATTGCTATGAGTATAACCTCAATAAAAGTCATTTGAACTTCTAGTATATGACATCTATTTCTATAAACAATCATTTCTTGTTATATTTGGACTTCTGGCCAAACTTTCTCTTTATATACATTCTTGTAAATGTCTATCTTGTATATATGAGTTATCTCATGCTCATTTTGTTCTCATTCAGTTATGAAAGAGACCAACACATTTCTCAAATATAATTTAAAGTGTGGTACTTCAAGACTAAATGTGAGCATTTTTAATGCAAATCTTACAAGGATCTTTTGAGATTACATCTTTTTGTTAAACTGTGAATATGAGATATCTTAAGACAAATTTGTCTTTCCAATATCTTTTATCTAATTTCAACAATTCTTCAGGAATTTCGATAATGTTTAGATTAAAGATCTCTTTTGATCCATAAATTTTTATAAATATACATTGGGTATACACTTTTGTGATTGTACCCCAATGAGAGTATTTCTCTTCATTTGATCAAATAATTAGAGTTCTTCGGGAACATAGTTTTGATATCATTAATCCTTCAGGAATTATATCCTTCAGGGACTTTTATAAAAATGTCATTATTTAGTGGGTCTTATGAGTCAAGTTCTTCTTTCATTGCCACACTTAATGAACTTGAAAGTTGCATCCACCACATGCCTATTATAACCCACTTGTTTTACACTTTTAAGGTGTAAGGACTTCTGGTCCAAATACATTTCTCTTTCTAAGAGATTTTAGTTTTAC